GGTTGAACAACAATTGGGAGACAAACTAGATGCATTGTGAACCAGTTTTTATTTGTGGGATAGTTAGCCACAGTCTATATGTGCATCTGTGATAACAACAACAACACATGTCAGGTCATAACTTTTTGACTGAGTGGCTTATTTGTATTAAGTTGTACTTTCTCATTCGTGCTTTTTAGCCCAATGAGGGGAAGGATTAGGGGTGGGGTTTGTAGAAACACCTCCTATTTAAATCATACATTTTCAAATGAATGAAATCAAATGAGATCGAGCTGAATAAGAATAATAATGTAATGACTTGAGGCCAGTTCTTGTAAGTTGGATACTTCAGACACAATTAAAAATATGACGTAGTTGTCAAAATAGTATTTTGGTTACACAACCTCATATGTTGTCTTTGTTACAGTGTAATTGTACATTTAATTATGTGTAATACTGTTTAACAACAGATACTTATTGTATGGTAATGAGTAGGCCCACGGAATCTGCACGTGCAGAAATCTGCAGATTTCCGCAGAATTTTTGGCCCATCATGGAGTCTACTTGTGTAAATGTGTGTAAATGTATATTTATTCAGTTTTTAAATTAATTTCAGTAATATTATTGACTAATATGAAAATTAAAATATTTTATGTATTTTAGTAGAAATATTATGTGAGAGACTTGCTTTTTTACCAAATAAGTAGATCCAATTGGATTTGCATTGTAAACATTAAATAAAAGGAGAAAAAGTATTTTTTATTAAGTTTTTAGTCATGATACTCCCAAAATAATTCAGCATAAATCCGCAGATTTTTAACAAAATTCTCAGCATAAATAGTAAAAAAATTGAGTTATTTTTTTAATGCATATTTTACGTTTTAATCTTCAGAGTGGTACCTGTAACGTGTAACGGAAAAAAAATAAAATGTGTTTTTTTTCACACACACACTTGTATTCTATCTTTGTAGGGACCTCTTACTGTAATTATTTTTTATACTGTACAAATGGCCTATCATATTCCCAACCCTACACCTATACCCAATTACAACAGGAAAGGCATTACTGTATGATTTATAAGCTGTTTTCATAATGACTAAATAAAATAAAACAATAAACGTCCCCACAAGGTCAAAAATAACTGATATTACTAAAATCAAGAGGACGTTTGCTCTTTTATATCTAATTAGACTGACTCCAGTATCCAGAATGAAGAAACTCAACTGAAAATAAACAAGACAATATGCATATACAGTGCTCAGCATATACAAGTACACCCCTCACAAATCTCTCATTCGAATTAATATTTTCTATTGGAAGCTTTACAATGGTATATTCGTGCATGTGCAGATACATAAGATCAGTAGTCATTACTGAAGCCAAATCTGGAGCTTATCCAACTAAATAGTTTACAATAACAGTCCGACAATAACAATTAGTAGATCAAATTTATATGTTAGGGAAAATATTATTATTATTATTATTATTATTATTATTATTATTATTATTATTATTATTATTATTATTATTATTATTATTAAAGAGCAAGAGAAACAAAACAAATATAAAATGTTGAAATTTTGTAGTTTGTAATTTTTTGTCAAAATTTAGCTTAAATTTAAATGTCTTATTTTTCCATTTCTAAAGATGTTCTGTGACTAAAATTATATAAATATATCTGTTTAATAAATCTTTTTTGTTTAAATGCACCAAAATATTTTACATATATTCACTGAGAAATGGAGACAAATCTTCATTTTCAAAATGTGGTGTTCTCAGTTATGCTGAGCAGCACTATAAATTAATTACACTTTAATAAACTATAAACAGAACTTCTGTTAGTGATATGAAGTTATATTTAAAGCCAACTAAATATGTACACAACAAAACACTAAAGACTTTATATACAGACAAGTATTTACTTTTATTACATTTTAAATGTCATCTTGTACTAAACTGTATAACCTGCTACATTAAAAATAATTTATCATTATTGTATCAGAGATTCATTAAAACTTCAAATGAAAGAAAGAGCAAGCGAAATGTAAAACTGCCAATGTTAACAGACAGAAGGAGAAAAGAAATCTCCCTAATATGGGATCTGCCATTTCTTGAATAGGCATTTGCTGTGTGTAACTGAGTAAATGTTTTGTCTCTCTTGAGGAGATCTCTCTGATGCCTAGCCTCTTTACACACACTACTAGGAACAAGTGTGCCGTGAAGATGCGCGGTGCAGGAGAGCGTGAGCTCCAGAAGCGGGAAATCTCCTAGTTATAATTACCACACATGCTTTTTACAGCTGCTCAGGATCTAGTCCTAGCCATTGTTTTTCAGAAGGTAAGGATATGATGGTAAAAACACTTCCCCTCTTCGAACCACACAAATAAATAAATAAATATATGGCCTGGTACCAAGCTGAGCTAATGCTGCGTGGGTCTTGTCTGATCAGACTGACCCTGGCCTAACACAGCTGGGTCTTCTATTCTCATGGGTGGTGTCGCTGTATATTAACCTTTATTCATAAGAGATGTTCCTCGAAACAATGAGCTCCTGCTGCTCCCCTGGGTCTAACCTGTCTTTGTTATGATGCTCCATACCATATTGTTGTGTTTTATATTGTATATTGTGTTGTGTTTAATGTTTGGAGCAACTCAGCAAGACAAATCCCCGGTTAGAGCAGCCAATAAACCTCAACTTCAACTTTAACTTCAGCTCTCCTCGTCTGACTGATGACTAATGCTCTCCACTCATATATCGATCACATCCAACATCCAACCGAGCCTCTGCTCCATATAAACCCGCTCTTGTCGGTATGATATCAGTATATATAATCAACAATGCCATCAGTAATGCTGACCACACTTAAAGATATCATAACATGCATGCATTGCAAAGGATTTGTTTCAATTCTACTGAATACAGAAAATTACTTTTAATATATTTTAAAGGATGACAAATCATTTACATAATGCTGCTATTAAGTATAACAGCCTTAAACTTTATCAGTAAATTGACAATAAATAAATAAATAAATAAATAAAATGTTTTATTTATGCTATTTTTTTTTTTTCTTTATGATTTTAAAAAAGGTTAAAATATGCTTCAAATACACTTAGTGGCCAATGTTAATTAAGTAAGTGGCTTATAAACGAACCCGACCTGGATTTCACGAACAGACTGACTCAAGTTAACAGTTTCTGCAGGAGTAGAAATCATGTTGTCGCACGACTTTATATGATCGTATATACTGAGATGCTGGATAAATTGTGATCCCTCCTGTGGATCTGTGTCGTGTCAGCTTGTGCTCTGAGAGGAATCACGAAATGGAAAACAGGTGTTCAAGTGGAGAGAGATTATAAAGCGTCTGGAAATATGATGAACTTTTTTTTTTTTTTTTTTTTTTTGCATTTAGTACAGGGCTACAACGAGACAACCGACGTCAAGTTATCAAGTTATTTATATTTTAATGAATGAATTTGCGGCTTTACAAAGGGGCTGATTGATTAAATGATGAAGTAATACGCAACTGACGTTTTTTCCCCATCTTAAACTTCTCGCAAATTTCATCGCACAAAGAGTAAAACGAAATGACTATTCAATTTATGTGACTGCGGTGGCTTAGATTAAATTCAATGAAACGATTTAAGACCGATTTTTTTTCTAATTAAAAGTTGTTCAGGCGAATTAGGATAAATGCACACGAACAGAAATGTTCATGCTTGTAAAAAAAGTGCGCAAAAAGTATTTATTTCTTATGTTTACTCACTTTTTCTTTAATTTCGTGTTTGCATTAGACGCTTTTGGAAACCAGACTCATTGAAATGATGAGAGAGCTGAGGCTAAAGTCTGAGTGTGGACAGATGAAATGTATTAGACTAATCTCCGGTTTTAAATTAAAATAGACTTAAACATTCCAATAAAATATTATTTTAGACGATAAAGTGTATTATAAATATGTGTGAGATTAAAGTCATGCTGCCAAGCTTTATGACTCGTATCCACAGGGGCTATTTCAGACTTTGTTAACAGTTTAAAGGTAGAGAAGAACTCTTAAATCTCTCCGACTTGCGAAAGCTGTACTAATATGTGGAGGCAATGATAACAAAAGCACAATTAATACAATTGATGTATTTATTATTTTATTCGTGCTATCATTTTGTGATATTTGTTTATGAATTTTAAAGTTATAGTAACTTTTTTGAGAACGAGACCTCATGTGTGTTCTTGATCACATCACACTTGCACTTATTTCTTCATATTCGACAAGAAATTTGATGTAATGAAAAGTTACTTCTTGAAACTGAATTAACAACAGTTTAAACCAGTAATGTTTAACAAAGCCACCACGAGCCATGTTATTGCGGCAAATAAAACATATTAGCGTCCTTGTTGTCTTCCGCCCATGTGGCAATTAAAACGAGCCTCCAAGTGGTGCTAAATAACTCATTATTTATGATACAAATATTCTTTCTCTCTCGTTCTCTATAAATAGTGTCAGCAATGCCTACTGTAATAAAACAAAATGAAGCCAGCATTTGAAGGAATAAAGATAAGCTTCATTTAATTGTAAATGGTTCATTAAAGAATAAACTTTGCCTTTTGTTTTAAGAACAATAGTTATTTCTAATGACACTTTGTCTTTCCCTTATTCAACAACAATAGATCAGACATCTGCATATTCTAAAATGTGGAGAACTGTTCATTAAGTAAGGTAATAATAATAATAATAATAGTAATAATAATAAGTTAAGTAAATAAATAAATAAACATATAATAGTTAAAGACTTTTGCTTAAGATGCAATAATTTGCTAGGCCTACATTTAACGTTAAACAGATGCATCTAATTTTTGATAAAGGAAACAGTGGTTATTTGATATTTTAACAGTTCACCACATAAAGGACAGACTGAAACACTCAGTTAGACGCATGAAGAATATACACATGAGAAACACAGAAAAAATGAAGTGAAATAAAAATGTGACGTACCTTTTCTTCTCTTTGAGTAACTGAGAACAATCACAGTGTTGTCATTTTTGGCAAAATAATAATGCAAAACTTCCTAAATCGATGTAATTTACAATCGAACATTTTGGGGATTTTAGGATAAGCACATAAAAAGGGGGCGGGATACACTGAACTGCGCGCTCACGTTCATATGTGCAGCTGTTCTCTGTTTCACACACACAGAAACGCGCACACACACACTTAGTTATAACTTGTAGTTATTACAAGAAGATTCCATTTTATTATTTGCTAATTGCTTGTATTTATTTGTTTTATTATTTGGATATAGGCCCATGCATCTACACTTCACAAAGTACAAAGCTGAGGAAAAATATTACCTGTCTATGTTATATAGTCTTTAAGACAACGAAAGTCTTTAAGACTTTTAGAGACGTAGTCAACTAAATTCGGAGTTCAAAACAAGATTTAATGATATAGCCTAATTAGGTTTTTTCGTCAGTGGTCACATGCTCATACTAAAACTATCGTTGAAATATGGCCCTAAAAATGAACACAGCAGTCCAGAATAAATTTTATATAAAGCTGTAATTCATAGCAAATAAAATAAACCAGTAAAAGATTTACCCCAACCGTGAAAACTGCAAAAGAGAATTTAAAAAGTAGTGTCAGACTTTTTTAAAGAAAGTAAATAAATAAAGGGTAAATAATTCTTATATGCTAGCTTATGAATATCTGATCCGATTAACGCAAAAACCAATGCGATTTAGCATACTCGTTGGTAAACTATTATAAACGCGTAACATTGTGGCTATAGAAACATTTCTCCGCTAAAGTTTTCAAATCCACTCTCGTGCACATAGACTTGCCACTTAGTTTCCGATTACCCATTAGCGCTATCGTAATTATAAAGCTCATTATTCCTTAAACGAAACAAAATCGCAAAGCCTCCCCCACTCAGCACTGTAATCTTGCTTTATCAGTGGTTTGATGAAGAAGAGAAGCTGCCCGTAGTTAAAGCGACTCCGTGCGGCGTGTGTGTGTCTGTGTGTGTGTGACACTGATGGATGCGCCAATGGTTAGACGGACAGATGCTTGGGCGGATCTAACGGCATGCACACACGAGTGAGTGAGATTGGGCAAAAACATCCCGGATCCTTGAAAGACCGCTCTCTTCCCTTTCAATCTGCCCCTGTGAGCTCGGCGCGCGGACATTCAAGAGGTTCTGGACATTTTTAGGGGGTTTTACTGAACGCTGCGACTTCCCGACTGCCCCCCTTTTCCCGAGGACTCGACGCGGTTCCCTCCGCGGTGAGATGTGAGAGGAGACAGCAGGAGCTCCAGGACAAGACGAGGACTTCAGTGGAGGAGGCAGAGTCTGACAACAACTCACCCTCAGCTAGTAAACAGAGAGGAGTCTCACAGTTCCAATCTCCTCATCCAAAACGGACAACTTCGCCATTTCTCCACTACAAATGACTTTACACTGACTCCAATTTACGCATAAAACTGTCTCTTTCATAACACTTGCTATTTTTTGTCTTAAGTAGATGGACATATTTGAAAAAATGTTGATCTTACCGTCTTAAAAAGTCCATTCTGTGAAGAAAACAACGGATTTTCGAAAGTGACAGTAGAGGAGAGAAAGGCGTCTCGGGAGCGAGAGGAAGACGCGTCTGCTTCGCCCGTTGCTGTTTTTAAATACCTGCTACAAGCCCCACAAAGAAGGCTAAAAAAGTGCTATTAGCGGCCAAGAAAGTGTTTGGCAATAGCTCAGTGATCCATGCTCTCGCAGCAGCAGCAGCTGAGGCGCAGCCCGAGTCCATCCCCTCCTTCTGATGTGCGTTATTACAAGCAGGAATACCCAATCAAACACCTATCGCATCGATTCTCTCAGCGGATTCCCAACGCGCGGGGACAAAATAAGCAAACGAGGCAGCGCGCGGGCGACAAGTCCGTCCATCTCCTCCTTCAAGCTTTTTGTCTTTCCCCCGGTTTGTTTATTATGAAAGAGATGGACGTTTGAAAGACGGTGGGCACTTGGAGTCTTTGGGATTTTCACAGAAAGCTATCGGCGACAGCAGCGCTCGTTTTTTTTTTTTTTTTTTTTTTTGTATTTTTGGGGGGGCTTTTCAAATTGTATGCGATTACTCAGAAGGATTCCTCATGGATAACACGTTTATTCGGGCGATCGCGTAAGTAAAGCTTTGATGTTTATGTTTGTAAATCACTGATCACTGCTGCCTGCCTTGCACTGGCTTTACGCTCAAACAAAAAAAACGTTAACTCAGATTGTCGATTTGCTACATGCCTATGTAAGTGTCAATCATTGCATATCTATAGTTGTTGTGTTTGTGAGCTGCTACTTTTACTATTAGAGTGCATTGGGGTTGGCTGCGGTAGGGAGAGAGAGGGGGAGAGGAAGAGAGAGAGAGAGAGAGAGAGACATATGCCTACCCACATGACATGAGCTAGCTAACCCATTCGAGATGGAAGGAGTTAATATGACAGTGCTTGATGTTTGCCTCTGTTTGCAGACTTTGAGTGACGCGATCATTTCGTTTTCCTTTAAGCTTGCCTGTTGCAGCTTCCAGCGCGGAGTGAGTGAGGATCGCACTGAGGCACGAGCGGTTTTTCTCCCCACTGTAGCGGCTCGACTCTCCGTCATATCCAAAAGACGCGCGGGGGGAAAGAGAGAGAGGAAAGAGGGGGAAAATCCCGCTTCGTCTTCATCCTCTTCAGATCTTGCCGTCTGATTTTTTGGTTTGAAAACTGCCGATACATGTCAGGCGTGTGAAAGCGCCCCAGGTGCCGTGTATCAGAGCAGAAGCGGAGCAGCTCTCGGGATCTCAGGGGCTCCTGAAAAAAAACCCTGAAAGAGAAACATGCCGCGGAGGAAACAGCAAGCGCCCCGGCGCTCGGCAGGTACGGCTCTTCTTCTTCCTCCTCTTCTTCTTCTTCATTTGCTCTTCTTCACCTCTCAGATGTATTTTTTTATTTTTGCACGATTTTCTTAGTAACGCAGTATGTGTGTGCGCGAGTGTTGTGAATGATTTGAAAATACTACCCACTCCTCCTTTACTTTATCAGATGGGTTTATACGCCGAAAAACTTTTTCATTTCTTCTTTGTCTTTTTATTATAATTTTAAAAGCCTATGTTTTTTTTAATTATTTTTATTACATTTGTGTAGGAGATTGTTTAAAGCCACATAGCAGTCAAACGACTGAATAATAGTTGAACTTCATTCAAGAGCACACTTTCACTAGCCTAGTTCTTGTACTTTGGTCAGTCCCCGTGCAGATGAAGCTGAGTCGACTGTAAGTCTTTTGATTGTTCTCTCTTTTACACCGCTCGCTTTCCTCGTAGGGCGTAGATATTGACTCCATGAATTAGAGATCTATAAAGAAGAGCAGGAAAAAAGGGCTTGGGTGTCAGCTGACTGTCATGACTCTCTTTGATGCTCGTTGTTTTGGGGGCTTTTGTGCGAAAGCAACACATTTGATCTCATTTGACAACTTTATTTATTTTGCTCATTAATTTTCTTCTTTATTATTTCTTCCTCTCCGTTTCTGGGAATGACACTTTAAGATTATTTTGTAGCTGACGCGATGGTCTAAGAAGAGCCTTTAATGGACAATTGCCATCTTTGATTTGAAGGCTGATTGATCGCCTGTCATCCGGATGCTCTTTGATCTATTCATTCCTGATAAACATCAATAAATCACTCGCCATGGCAACGCCACAACCCCGTGACGTCACGTCTGCTTTGACAGCCATCCATTAAAACATCTTTAATTGCTGCATTTCTACTTTTTGTTTCCACATAGGCCATGAACAAGGCCACATTTACTCCTATTGCTTAAAGAGCACCAACATCAGGAACACACACAGAAACACACCGTTTAAAAACAACGATAGTTCTGCTTCATTCTAATGAACTGTCTAAAAATAACAGAATATATATATATATATATATATATATATATATATATATATATATATATATATATATATATATATATATATATATATATATATATCTTATGACATGTTGATTGTTAGTTGACATATTTGTTACAAGGAAAAATGATACAGTCAAAGAAACCAAAATAGAAATCTGTCAGCTTAACTGTTGCTAATGTCTTTTCGTAGCTTCTTTTTTCGAGCAGTGATATTTTTGTTGTGTTTAAAAGCTAGAATACGAACATCTTGTGATTTTTGAATCCTTGTCTAAACTTTGCTGGGAGACACAAGAAGTCTTTGTTTATTCATGGATGAATTACACTCTGTTAGTGCAGAATACGTGGCTAAATATTTAGCGCTCGAACTTTCAGGTGAAGATCTAATCGGAATAAAAATAGTTCGACTAATGACAATCGGGTCTAATGGTTTCATACGGTTAACTATTTACAGTACGCATATCACCGTAGGATGATATCCTCATGAACAATCCAACAGAGGGCACACCTACAGTCTTACAAACACGCACACGCACACCCACACAAAACTAATAACCTAATCTGGAGACGGAAGAATGGTTTGCTCCATCAGTCTGACCCGTCAAAGCAACTTTGTTTCATATTTGATTTAATTGTCTCTCCTTTGACAGCCACATTCATCAATAGCTCTAATGGTCAATCAGAAGTTGGCAGAGTGAGTGCTCTCATTTTGTGTGTGTGTCCCCCTCCCACCCCCAGTACGATAGGCTTGTGCTTTACTTTATCAAAATGCTTTTGCCTAATGGACGCGCAGAGGTAGAGGGAAGGAGGGAGGAGGGGTACAAGGGTGACTGAGAGGCTTCTCATTTCAGAGGAGTGAGAGAGAGAAAAAATCAGGCATTTATGCCTTTGATGAGCGGATGAAGACAAATACAAGAGCAGGCTGAGAGCCTTTTTTTTCCTCTCTCCTTAGACGAGGCAACTTCCTGTGATATATATTTTTCTTCTTCTTCTTTTTTAACTCCCTCTCTCCTTTCTTCAAACCAATGCCCCTCCTCTACATCTCTCCCTCTTCTCCTCACTCCATCCCTCCCTCCCGGCAGCCCTCACAGCTGCAAGTTATAAGGTTGACGACTGCACTGTGGCATACAAAGAGTGATGACAAATTGATTGCGCCGTCGTGATGGAAAGAGCAAAGGAAAGATGGCAGATGATGGGCCTTGATTAGGAACTTTGGGAAATCCAGTCCCCTGCAACCTTGAGCTTTGCATGAGAAAATTTCGCCCTCCCTCACATTTTCTGTCTCTCTTTCTTTTTGCTCCCTCGTTCTGTCTCTCCCTACCTCCCTCCTCCCACCAAGTCTGGAAGGCCCGCTCAGCCGTAGAAAAAGAAAAGTTGTTTTGCCAGCTTCATTAGTGTTCACCTAATTAGCTGTAAAGCTGATGGATTCCTGACAGGCCTAATGATTGGAGATGACAAGCTCCGCACACTGTCATCCAGCCCAATTAGGTTTGCAGCTAGTTTGATGTAATCAAGTTGATATTACACAGTCCTCCATGCCTTTAGTTGGTGCACTAACTCAATTTGCTGCTGCAGGTGACAAATGGTCCGGGCTACCTGGGTAATCATGTTGGCTGGAATAGAGCGCTTTTAATGGTCAAGAGACTAAGAGCAATAATAGCGTCGAGGTGACAAAACAGAATCAAAAGGTGCGCAAAATGTGTGCTCCGAAGAAACCTGGTGGATGTGCATCACGGGCTCTGTGTGCGGACATGCGCACCTTTTTTATTGAGGGGGGGGAAATTGCCTTCTCTCCATTTGCTCCGTCTACTCTGTCTATCTCTCTTTTTTAACAGACAGACACAGCACTCTCTGTCTAGCAAGGGTGATTCACTCACCCCCCGCCAAAAAAAAAAAAAAAACACCCATTCAGACAGGCAGTGCAGCGTACACACACCATGTTTTTGTTCACAGGCTTCAAAGCTTTTGCCAGACCAAACATATCAATTGTTTTGGGGAGTCGAAGAGAACATCAAACTTTTTTTTTCTCCCCCCTGCTATCTCTGTGTCCTCTTGGTTTTTAATATCCATGTTACCTACTAAAGTACACTGGTGTTGGAAAGGTCCCTCAATCCCCAAGTACACATGTTACCGTGTGTCTCGATACATAATCTCAGTATGTGCATTTGAGCCGAGAGGATGTGATGTATGAAGACGGAGAACATTGATAACGGTCATTATGATAGCGTTCATAGCATGCTTAAAGTTGGTTTATCTCATCTGCGCTAGAACAAATGCCAACTCTCAGCATTGTGTTTAGAGTGACTAAATATGATTTATAAAAATATTTGGGTTGTGACGAATGTTACAGAGGCTGCGCTGAGATGGATTGCAGTTGGGGAAAGGAGCTGATTTCTGTGATTTCGCGTGCGTTTGATTGATTGCAGACAGGGAGCAATGATTAATCAAACTCAAAGCCTGTTCCGGCGAGGATATGGAGCGGTGGATACGCAGGATCATATGGGGAACACCGGTGGGCTCGTAAATACGGTCGCATGCACATAATGATCCCCCATACATATCCCTATGTGGAACGCATAGAATAGTAGAGTTTAGGTAAGATAATCATAGATAAACTCGATAAAGATAAAGAATATTGTAGTAGTAAGGTGTTTTTTTTTAAGTTTGAAAGTGATTTAAGTTCGCTCTGTGATATCTTTTGACTTTCTCGCACATTAAAGTCGTTTAGTTAGGTTTAACATATATTTTTTCCTTCCTTGCTGCAGTTTAATTACTTAAATTGTAATGAAACATCATGGTGACTTGATTATGTTAATTATCCTTATTAAACCTAGTCATTATAATCATATGCATTATTAAGAAAAAGAAAATTATGTCATGTACACCAGTACATTCTGCTCCTCAAATGATTTGATTTTTCCCTCCAGTGTGTGTATATGTGTATATATATATATATATATATATATATATATATATATATATATATATATATATATATATATATATATATATATATTTTATAGAGTTAAAGTCAGAATTATTAGCCCCCCTAATTATTTTTTTTCAACACATTTCTGCACACAATAGTTTTAATAACTCATTTCTAATAACTGATTTATTTAATATTTTCCATGATGACAGTAAATAATATTTTACTAGATATTTTTCAAGACACTTTTATACTTAAAGTTACATTTAAATGCTTAACTAGGTTAATTAGGTTTACTAGGCAGGTTAGAGTAATTAGTAAAGTTAATGGATACCAATAGTATATAATATATATATATATATATATATATATATATATATATATATATATATATATATATATATATATATATATAATTATATATATATATATATATATATATATATATAATTATATATTTGCACATACAGTAGGATAGAATTTTAATCTAGATGCTCTGCATGTATTAAATATCATCTGCAGCTCTTTCATAGGTGTTTAAGTGTTTCAGCATTAGGTCTCCTTATCTGACAGCATTTTAGAGATAGCACATGCATATTTATTTGGTCATTTTTCGCATGAGCAGAGTCAGTGTGTTGGATATATTGTTACACTGAAATTATACATTGTAGTTCAGAGACATTTCCTTGCTTTTATTTACATGGTGGCTGGAAGGAAGACTGCATTCGTCCATGTGTAGGTGTCCCTTCAGCAGTGTGTGTGCGTGTGTGTATGTGTGTGGATTATGGGGCCTGAGTCTTCGTCATCCTCACATTGCTCTGGCCCAAACCCTGCGCTCCCAGGCAGCCAACTGACACTATGATTAGTTATGGCTGTCCTCCGCCTTTTTCACCGCAAGAAGTGAGCAACAATGAGAAGGGTTAAGAGCAGAAGAGGCGGGGAAAAAGCACAGGAACAGAGAGAAAGAGAGAGAAAGAACGAAGGAAAGAGAGATGGGGGTTAAGGGAAAAGCTGAATAACCTAACAGCCAAACGT